CGACAAAAGCGACCCCTTCATAGTGTTGTTTTGGACGCAGGAGTGAGCGAGAAGATAGAACAAGATGTTCGCGCTTTCTTACAACGCAGGCGATGGTATGCCGATCGAGGTAAGTAAGGGCTCCCCCGTACGCGCGCTAAGTGCCGCTCATCGCATGTCTAGGCATTCCGTACCGGAGAGGATACCTGTTATACGGACCTCCGGGCTCAGGGAAGACTTCCTATATCCAAGCATTGGCTGGGGCACTCTCATACGATATTTGTTTACTTAATCTCTCCGAACGGGGACTCACAGATGACAAACTTATCCATCTGTTTTCAAATGCCCCCGAGCGCAGTTTCATACTCATCGAGGATGTTGACGCCGCTTTCAACAAACGAGTACAGACAAGTGAAGACGGGTAAGTTGGATTTTTGGTCTTAGTCCCTATTGTTCCTTACAGTGCTCCACCAGATACCAGTCAGCTGTAACATTCTCAGGCTTCCTCAATGCACTCGATGGTGTGGCATCGGGCGAGGAGCGCATCATTTTCATGACCACCAACCATGTCGATAAGCTCGACCCCGCTCTTATCAGACCAGGTCGCGTGGATCTCAGAGTACTTGTCGATGATGCGTCTCCTCTGCAAGCCCAGACACTTTTTACACGATTTTACGGTGGTAGTGAGGATATACCCTCAGAAGAGGTTACCGCCCTTGCCCAGGAGCTCGGAGACCTCATAGAAAACGAGATGCTTAATGGACGACGGATCAGTATGGCCGCTCTACAGGGTCTGTTCATAAGAAACAGCGCCAAGCAGGCTGTGGAATCATGTCGAGATTTCTTTGTGAAGAGATAGACGGGTATGCTATTGATGCGCGAAGCAACTGACGTGATGACGATTTCAGAAATTTGGTTTTCGTCGTCGTCCCGTATATTTTGAGTCCCGTGGAACACCCTCCTTGCCTCTTTGGCGGTAAAGCTACAGGTAATGTCACTCATGACTTCGAGGGAAAACCCAAGGGGATATGGCTTGCCTCTTTTTTCTTCAATATCCAAACTTTGTCTTTCAGTGGTTTTCTCCTCCCGCTGCGGTCTCGTTTCTTCTCCTTTTCCCGTCTTCTCTCGAATCGTACATGCTCGTCCTCTTCCCCTTCCAAACCCTTAGGCAGCTGCTGACCGCCACCGCTGCCAACAAACAAGCATAAAAAGACCTTCTTTGCCTTCTTAGAATTTGGATAATCGACGACCACGCCGCCGCCAAAACCAGCTCTTTGGGCTATGGAAGTAATGAGCTGTATTTGGTCATCTGATGATGGGTAGAACTGGAAAACTGCACGAGATGGATTCCTTAAGGTTGAATACAAGGTAGTGAAGAAACGGTTCAGACGATGCGGGGGTGATGATGTCGGGTGTGAAGTCTCAGCGTTGAGTAACCACTGCAGAACTGAAATGCTGCAAAAGATAAATATCTATGCGGCTGGAGAATACAAAACTATCAAAAAAAATACGCACCTTATTGCACCGTCAAAGCTACCTGGACGGAAGCCGAAACCTTGACCGATGTCTTGCAAGAAAAGATCACCATCGACCTCCCTCTCTAAAGCAACCTCTGATGCACGACCTAAGGCAGGGACGCAGCAGTGAGTGACAGTTGACTCACGGAGCATGCTGGGGGCGATATCGACGCCGGCCCACATGTATCCCTCATCGTCTAGTATCTCGCCAGATAATCCAGAACCACAGCCAATGTCTAATAGGAACGCAGGTTGACTCGGAGGCATGTTCAGTAGCTCAATGGCTCTGTAGGTCATATCTGCCTGAATCTGCTGATTCCGCGTGCTTGTGCAAGGTCAGGGGGCTGATTGGGATAGTGTTTCGAGACCTGCCCACTTTGTGGTGTACTTTTTTGCCTCCGTATCACCATAATACTGCAGAGATACTGTCATTAAGAATGTCCCTCTACGGAAACAAAACTACCCACGATTTCGGGGGGTGCTTGAAGCTCTGGACGTGACATTTTAGCAGTGAGGACGGCGAAAACAGCAGCACAACGTTGGGTGCAGGTGTGATCACGTGATCCATACTAGTAGGGTATCCTCGAAGTGCCCATTAGTACCGCCAACGATGGCAACGCCGAGCAAGCAATACAAGGCCATCGGAGAGGATCTTTGGAAGAGCCGGACGGAGAAAGTTGTGAGTAATATTTACACAGTATTCTCAGAACCTGGTGATTGGTGGAGACTCTGACTGACTCTCAGATCAGAATGCAGAGTTGTTTGCGTTGACATATGGCGCGCTCGTCGTGCAGCTGATCCAGGACTATGAGGACTACGAGGAGGTGAATAAGCAATTGGAGAAGATGGGATATAATATCGGGACCAGGTTAATCGAAGATTTTTTGGCGAGGAGTTCGGTAGGGCGGTGTTCTGATTTCCGTGAGGTCGGGGAAGTGGTAGCCAAGGCGAGTAGACTCGCGTTGTCATTGCAAACGTGCTCATATAGTACAAAGGTCGGCTTCAAGTCGTTTCTGAATATCACTCCGACCGTGACCCATCCGCCGCCAACATCAAGGCCAACTAGTGTCCAACGACAAACCGGCATACCGAATTCGTCCTTCACACTTACCTTGGACGAGAACCCGCTAGCGGAGTTCGTCGAGCTACCGGAAGAAGCACTTGAAGGTGGTTTGTGGTTTAGCAACGTGCTGTGTGGGGTACTAAGAGGGGCACTGGAAATGGTATTGCTTTTGTGCGCGGTATCGTCGACATATCATGTTCATCGATTCGCAGGTGCAAATGCAAGTGCAAGTAGAGTTTTTGTCGGACGTGCTACGCGGCGACGAGACTACGGAAATACGAGTCACTCTGCTGAAATACTTAGAGGAGGAAGTGCCGATGGGAGACGAATGAGAATTAAAATTGTGTGTTTTAGCGTTGTATCCTCATGCCTGCGGGAAGCCATTGCCAACCAGGGGTGACAGAATTGCAAAAGATTTCGAAGTGCAAAAGATGCCAGATACTGTGAGCGCATTCTCAACCAAAGCGATTGACCCTGTTGAGCTTCTTCGCCGTCTTTGCATTGGACTGTGTATTCTGTCCTCTGACGGGCAATCCCATCGCATGCCTCTTCCCAACATAGCTCCCGATCATCCTCTGGTGTGCGATATTCTCCCTAACAACTCTTCTCCCCTCAGCCTCTATCTTCAAGTTTCTAAGAGGTTCGGCCCCAGTAGGTTTGGATAGTTCAGTGACACGCTTCCGAAGTATCTCTATTGGTGTTGACGCAGGTGGCGGTTGGAACGTCGGGCTGGCGAGAGGCATGCGGCGGAGTGGGGGTACAGTAGAAGGAGAGGCAAGGAAGGAGGCGAGCTCAGTTATTTGCTGAGCTGTCAGATCTCGGATTTTGCAACGGTCGTGTATCTGCAGTCGAGCACAGAGACGCTGCGCTGTTTTGTGCCCAATGCCATAGAAATTAGTCAAGGCAAGCTACGACGCTATCAGTCGAGTGATACCTTTTTCTGTGCACACGTACCCTCGCCAGCTGCAGGTCAGGTAGGGCGACGCCCAGGACGTGGACCATGTTGGTCGATGCGAAATTCTGATTCCGCTATGTAAAAGGCAACTACGCTTTTTTTTTCACCGCAACCACTACAATACTCAAAGCGTCTATTACCACTTCGTGCATATGTCTACCGACAAAGGTGAGGGTCGTCGCGAGGATGCACTCGTCAAGCAGCGCTTGCAGAATCGCGAAGAATACGAACGACAAAGGCTGAAACTCATCAGCGAAACCGAAAAATCTCGACCCTCAGCAGACAAGTTTGTGGGCCAGAATGATTCAATGGAGGATACCCTCAAGAATAGCACCGTTGGCCTTGTACGCTTAGAGGACTTCCAACAGAGGAGGAAAGAAATTGAAGAAGCCAAGGCACGCGAGGCAGGCGCGTACGAGTGAGCTCAAGTAAGTCGTAATTCAACTACGGTTCGTGCGTGATACACGTGAAGAAAGGTAACTGATGGTTTGTGGAGTATTCGTTTAGAGAGGAGACAAAGAAAGTGAAGAAACGTAAAAAGGCCAAGTCGACGCTGTCATTCGCCGTTGACGACGAGGAGGGTGACGGTGAGACTTCCTCTAGGCAGACGCCCGACACAGAGAACGGAGAGTCTGCTCCCAAGCGTGCCAAGTTTCGCAAGAACCCAGACGTGGACACGTCTTTTCTCCCTGATCGTGAACGAGAAGAAGCTGAAAGGAAGGAGAGGGAGCAGCTACGACAGGAATGGCTACGCAAGCAAGAGGAGCTCAAGATGGAGGACATTGAGATCACCTACTCATACTGGGACGGAAGTGGGCATAGGAAATCCGTGGTGGTATGCATTATATCTGCCGTTCCCAGTCTGCTCACTTTGGGGTTAATTATGTTCTAGTGCAAGAAAGGCGACGCAATCGCCAACTTCTTGGAGAAATGTCGCCAGCAATTCCCTGAGCTGAGGGGCGTCAGTGTTGATAACCTGATGTATGTCAAGGTAAACTCCGGCCTCTCCTGTGCACTGCGGTATCACTCATGCTCCTTTCCTTATTGAAGGAAGACCTCATAATACCTCACGTACGTATCACAGACCGCGCCTTGGAGAAGGGTCTCATCCTTCGTGCAGCATTATACGTTTTATGACTTCATCGTCAACAAAGCCCGGGGCAAATCAGGTCCACTGTTCAATTTCGATGTCCATGACGATGTCCGGTTACTCTCTGATGCAACGATGGAAAAGGATGAGTCGCACGCGGGGAAGGTTGTTGAGAGAGGTTGGTACCAAAGGAACAAGCATATATTCCCGGCATCACGGTGGGAGGTGAGCTAGAACGTGTCCATGGATTTTACCGTTTCTCATTGCTGTTTGTTGAGCAGGTATACGATCCACAGAAGGACTACGGGAAATACACTATTCATTGACTGTTCTATGTACGAATTTTGTTCGGTCAAGCGGGTGGAGTTCTTTCCAATAAGATGGGGGAAAAACAAATGCCAGGACCGTGGATTGAACACGGGACCTCCAGAATCCAATTGAAACTTCAGTCTGTTGCTCTCCCAGCTGAGCTATCCCGGCAGTGGTCAGAACTTGTACATAAAGTGCAACATGACTGAGGGACCGAGAAAGTAGGCTTCCACTGCCCGCCAGCACGCGTCAGTGCCTGGGATCTTCAGAGCCTTTTATGAACCCGAAGCAATTCCGCGGCACCCCAGCCAAACCGTAATAGAACAGTCTCACTTGCAGCTTTATGTTGCGTCTCATGAGTGGTAACGGTCAAAGTGCATATGATCAGCTTGATTGAGAATGCGAGAGCGGTTTCTTCGGCTTGAAGAGGAACAGCATATGTTGCCTTCTGAACCCGCTCTACATGTTTGCGTCATGGTCGGCAACTGTGCACCCCAAACTCCCTTCTCACCTGCTACGACCCCTCTGCCGACATCGAATTTCTGCTGTTGACAATACCTTGGTTCATAGATGGTATTGACCTCAGGCCGTCAACTGATACGATGTGCGCCTCCCACGTATGTTGCGCGAAGCCAGACGAGAGTTTCAAGTCCTTGGTCTCACGTGGTGCCGTGCGCGAAGTAGCGCCTTTTTTTTGGCCCGCACACGATGGTTGCGATCAAAGAGCGCTGTAAATGGTAGATATTCATTACATATACCTACGTTATGCCTTTGCTTATATTGTATTGTGATAGTGACAAGGAAACCTGGAGGTTACTTTCGTGCATGAGACGCTGCTTGCTATAATAAAATTAATCGATGTGCGGTGGCGGTGGTCCTAGAAGATGCATGTTTACGCTCCGTAGGGCTCATTCCGAGCGATTGAAGGTTTGAGAGCTTTTTAGAAAAACAGAGATTAAAATTCGCATATGAGATTCATGGAAAGGGGATGTCATTCGACACATACCTTAGGGAAGACGGTGCGGTATCGAGACGGAGGTCAAGATAGGCCGTCGATGTATTGTGACGTGAAATCAAAAAAAGTCCACAGAAGTCCGTGCGTGGTAATACTGCGTACTGCACTAACACCGAGACCACGGTAAATCCGTGCTATGCCAGCAAGCACTGGCTTTGGATCGTTAGGATCCGGGCCTACATAAGAATTAGAGAGCAAAGAAGCCAGACGTAAACGTTGTCATACCTCGAACAAGGCGATAGAAGGTTTCCCGTACTCCTCTCGGAGGAGTTCCAGCCAGCGCACGTTGCTGGACTTTCGTTTTCACACTGCAAGTAGGCTGTTTCAATGGATGATCAACGTAATAGGAACTTAAAGGCTCACACATCAAGTGGATAAATTAAAGCCCAAGACGTGACGCCAGCGAACGAACCACAGACAAAGGGAATCAGAGAGACGGGTATCGGTAGCCAATGAGGTGTTCGACCCTGCTCTCCAGAACGCTGCCGACCCAGTAAGTGCCTCATTGCGTCATACTCAAAAAAATATAAAGCAGTTCCGGACGTGTCCCGTACTGAGATAACGGATAAACAGGCCGCCGGCTGGAACTGTAGACTGGAACTCACGAAAGTGCAACCGGAAACCGAGGTAAAGACCGGATATGCCATGTGTCCTAACTATATCACGAACTGCTTCGATGGTATTTGGCGGTTTGACTAGCTGGATACCCTTTGTTGCGGCGATGCTATACTCCAACTGCCGACGGACCTTTTGCGGACTAATTGGGACGGGACTAACGAGTTACTACCTATTGAAAACCTACCTTCACGAGTTCAAACGCTGCAGATCATGATATGTAAATTGATATCTACGGTTGTAATAGACAGGGGCCTGAACTCACGTGCGCTTCCGAAGGAGATCAACGAGCCCGACAGGGCACCACTTATACCCCCAGCCAGGGCGGCATCATACATGCTGTCTCCAGTGAAATAATCCTTCCTGGAACAATACTCCTTTGTGTCACTGTAAATCGTAAAGGAGGCGGTGCCTAGAAATGGTCGATGGAAGGATGGACGCGACCGAGACAAACAACTCACGGACAAAAGATATCGTCACGAGAGGAATCCAGAGTCCCCGGTAAAAACCAACTAGGCCCTCCTCGCGGTACACAAGCCCCGCTAATTTCCACAGGGATATCCGCGTTTTGGTGGTCTGCAAACGCGACTTCAAGGAGTCAAGCTGCAGAAAATTCGTCGCATTGAAGGACACGGGCTAGAGCAAGAAATGGAAGTTCTCACCGGGTACCCTGCAAACGTAGATATGTAGCTCGCTGAGAGCGCACATACTACGGACTTGTTTCCTGTGTGCTAGCCCCTCAGACGTTCGCCATAGTTTGAAAATCTTTTGAACCATACGTCGCAAAGTGTTATTAAATGCAGCATTGTCGAACCAAGGATTTGGGGGCGTACTGCCGAGTGTTTGAGCACCGAGTGATACTTGGAAGTGAACGTCATTCGGTCGTACCTAACACCGTCCATGGAGTCTTCTTCACTGGACCAGCCACAAATCCCGGTTTCGTGCGATACACGTCGACGATGGTGCAGGCGCGGGTTTTGTGACTTTAACGGAACCAGGAAGAAGAACTGAAGAGGCGGGCAGGCTGGACACTCAGGTAAGTTTTAATACTTGGGATCGACTCGGGTGCCTGATTCAGATACCGACAGCGTGATAACACAAGCAAGTATGTACATGACGCAGTCTCGACAACACCAGTAAGAGCACACATATCGCGTATCGTACATGGCCGTCTAATGCTTAAAACCCACCGATCCGCTTCTTGGTGGGTTTCTTCTTCCCCACCGTCGAGCGCCCGCCGTATGGCCCTGGGAGAACCTGCGTGCTAGGCATGGGGTCCTGCGAAAAAGTATCAAACGTAGGGTGGAACGCTGTTTCTTGAGAATAGCTCTGCTTCGTAGTATGGGTCACCTCGGTGCCTGATTACTTCCCACTGCGGTCGTACTGCGGAACGTGCTCCAGTGGCTGCCACAACAGTTGGCGGACGCTGGGATGGCACCACCGTGCTTTGTGTAGGCGCAGGAGTGCGTAACACCTGTTTCCGCCTAGGGCCGGAAGCACGGTCAACCTCCGTGGCGTTATACGGGTCACAGTACGTATAGTTCTCGACGTCGGATCCCACCTCCCAATCAGCCAGTAAAAGTCGCACTCCCAATGGACAAGAGATCTTGGTATCTTCTTCAGTGAGTTTCGGACTGGTCTCCTCCGGGATCATGTAGTGGTTGGCACCAATTTTGAGAAAGGGTCGAAAAAAGCTGAACTCAACATCAGGTGGCTCGTCCGTGACTCCTGCATGTCTGTTTTCTTCATAAAACCTTTCGGATACGGCCCCGGTGGATCGCGGCATTGCAATAGGACGAGGCGAGAACACATCGCACGATAACGATATATCGATGGCGAGCTGTTCCTGTGCTTCAGTTTGTCGCCGAAGAAAACTTTCGGCATTTTCTCCACCAGGTTCCAACTGCAACTTTTTCAGGTGTTCTGTGAATGTTGACAAGTCATCCGGGATGTCATAGCGTAGGCGGCGCATTGTGCCCAGCAGGTTGTAGCTCCAAGGTGTGAGACTGGCTAGTTCCTTGACGGGTATACCACCTCTCTCAGCTATTTGGTAAGGTAATTTGGCATTCATACGCAGCTGGTGAAAAAGTTTGCCGGAGCCTTCGACTTATCTGCAGCATAAGCAACTAGGTCGAGCCTGGAAATAGCACAATCAGTGAATGACTCGGCGAACAGCGAAATAATCCACGTTGTTAGAATGGTCTCCGGAGGCTTTTCCATTTGCTGCCAGAAACTGGGGAGTTTTGAGAGCGTGTCACAGGAAGCCTTCACCCGAGCCATCATCTCCTACCGCAAATATCCCTACAAGTCATCGAATCAATGTTAGTCATACTTTTCAGAGGAAGGTACCCACTGTCGTATACGCCACGGAAGTTAACCTCTGTAAAGTGCCTTCCTCCGACAGGGCCAGCGTCAGGGCGGAGGTCGCTCGCTCGTTTGTCTAACTTAACAACATCGGCATCCCACTCTCGAACAACACGATCCCCTCTGTGAAAGCTGACATCTCATCGCCAGTAATGATTTGGAGGTCTGTCTGGTAGATACTACCTTGATGAGTCAACTCGAGGAACGACATCTTAGACATGCAAGGAGACGCGACGGCGGTACACCCAGCATATACCATATTCAATGGTTTGTTCCAGGGCAGACAAGAAGGCGGTGAGTTGCAGTGTACCAAGTTATCCGTGCCTCTGCTGACGTCATAGACTGTAACTAGTCCATTTTTCCGCGAAGTTAACAAGACTAGGGGACCTGCAAGCTTTGCCGTCAACCGCGCAGTATCGTCGTAATAGTGAAAGGCTGACCGAAGCCGAGCTCAACGGTTAAGGTTTTCAGTGTTCTATCATAAATCCTATGGTGTTTAAAACTTAAAATCGGCTTTTTCGGAAAACGGTCATCAAGCCAAATAATGTCGGAAGTGGTTGTGACGCGGCTGAGATTGTCCTGCACCGGGGCCTCGTAGCAGGTTACTACAGCCCCAGGCTTATCTAGAGAGTAAACAACCTGGGCTGTGTGGCTCGTCTGTAAAGCACGTGTAAGCTACCAGACCGTCCATTGAGGATGAGCATACTCTAAAATCCAGATACTTTACGCCAGTATTGGAAGTAAGAAAGCACCCGTCCTTGTTGCTCGCTGCGCCTAGTTGCCAGAAAATGTCTGCAGGGTTATCTTGACCGTCACCGACGGCAGATCTGCTACTCTCAATTATTTGCCTGTGATAGAAATGAGAGACGACGATGCTTCCGGGATAGGAGATGTAACACACGTGGCGTTGTCCGCTGCGTACACATCAGACTTGTAAACGTGTCCAAGGCGGTTGACTGATATTATGTCTGGTCTTGCTGGTAGAATACGCGAATCTACTATTGGGATGTCCCCAGTGTCGGAACGAGTAAGTTCAATATCTCTTGTGACTTGCGAGTACGGGTCATCTGTGGAAGTGGAAAGTTTAATGAGTGAAACTGAGGTGTAAGTGCGGGAAAGAGCAATGTTATATGGCATTTGTGGTGAGGGAATTGAGCCAGAGAGCTGCAGGATTGGC